ATGACACCATAACTTAAAATAGGGAAGATGATTCCATATTCTTCAGATGGGCCCTAAAAGCATAGAGCTTTCTTCAGCTGGTAGCAAAAAAGGAAGTCTGAGATACTGGAAGCATGAAAAGGATTCAATAAGCCATCACTGGCTTGAAGATGGAGGAAAGCACCTGACAAAGAATAGGAGCAACTTTTGGGAGTGAAGAGTGGTCCCTGGCTGACAATCAGGGAGAAAATGGAAACCACGAGAATCTAAATTTGGCCAACCACTTGATGTGGATTCTTCCCTAGATCTTTCAGTTAAATGTCTGGCCCAGGCAACCTTGACTTCCAACTTGTGAGACCCTAAGCTCAGCCTGCCCTGTTTTCTGATCAACAGAACTGTAAGAAAACAAAAATGGGTGTTGTTTTTGGCCAGTAAGTTTGTGGTAATTTCCCATGTCAGCAACAGTAAATTAATAGAGTTAATTTACAACAGGTATAACCACCATTAACATAGGCTTATAAATGACAGAATAGAAAAGAGAAAAAAAATACAAAAAGGTTTAGAAAGAATGTGATAGTAAAGACACAAATAGATTATCCAGCATACTTATAAATGAAATTCCTGAAAAGAAAATAAAAGCTAATCAAAGGTAAAGAAGAAATTTTTTAAGACTCCAAAGAAAACTTTCTTGAAATAAAAACTCTGGATTTACATAATAAAATAATCCAATATATACCATGCAAAAAAGAGAAAGGATAGTCAAGTCCAAGAAATACCTTATCAAAACAATTATGCTTTAAACAAAAAACAGAAGACCCTGCATAGCCAAAGCAGACTTGAAAGACAAAAGGAACCTATGGAATGGGAGAAGATATTCACAAATGACATATCTGATAAAGGGTTAGTATCAAAAATATAAGAAGAACTTATATAAATCAACACCCAAAAACAAACAATCCAATTTACAAGTGGACACAAGAAAGGTGCCTGGGTGGCTCAATCAATTAGGTGTCCAACTTTGGTTCAGGTCATAATCTCACGGTTCATGGATTCGAGCCCCATATCAGGCTCTGTGCTGACAGTTCAGAGGCTGGAGCTGGCTTTAGATTCTGGTTCGCCCTCTTTCTCTGCCCCTGCCCTGCTCATGCTCTTTCTCTCCTTCAACGATAAACATTAAAAATATTTTTTAAAAATAAAAATAATAAAAATGGACAGACTATGAACAAACATTTCTCCAAAGAAAACATCCAGATGGCCAACAGACACATGAAACAATGCTCATTTTAGGGAGCTGCAAATCAAGACTATGATGGGGCACCTGGGTGTCTCAGCCAGTTAAGCTTCCAAGTCTTGGTTTGGGCTCAGGTCATGATCTCATGGACTTCAAGTCCCCCAATGGGCTCCACACTGACCCTCTCTCTAACCCTCTCTCTGCTCCTACTTGCTATGTGTTCCTTCTTTCTCTCTCTCTTCCTCCCTCTCTCTCTCTCTTTTTCTCTCTCTGCCTCTCTTTCTCAAAATACATAAATAAACTTAAAAAAGAGTACAATGAGATATCACTTCATGCCTCTCAGAATGGCTAAAACAAAAGGCACAAGAAACAATAGGTGGGGAGGATGTGGAGAAAGGGAAACTCTTGCACTGGTGGTGGGAATGCAAACTGGGGTAGCCACCGGGAAAACACCATGGAGGCTCCACAGAAAGTTAAAAATAGAACTACTGTACAATCTAGTGGTTTTTTACCCCACAATTACAAAACATTACTTCAAAAAGAGACATGCACCCCTATGCTTATAGCAGCATTATTTACAATAGCCAAGATATGAAAAGAGCCTGTTTCCATCGACTGATGAATGGATAAAGATGTGGTGTACACACACACACACACACACACACACACACACACATAAATGGACTATTATTCAGCCATAGAAAAGAATGAAATATTGCCATGTGCAAAGACATGGAAATATCTAGAGTGTATCATTCTAAGTGAAATAGGTCAAAGACAGAGAAATACCCTATGATTTTACTCATATTTAGAATTTAAGACACAAAACAAAAGAGCCAGGAAAAGAAAAAGAGAGAGACAAGCCAAGAAATAAATGATTCTTTTTTTTTCTCTAATGAGAACAAAGTGATGGTTATCAGAGGGGAGATGGGTGGGTGAATATGGGAAGTAGATGATGGGGATTAAGGAGTGCACTTGTCATGATGAGCACAGGATATGCATGGAATTGTTGAATCACCAAATTTTGCAGCTGAAAATAACACTGTATGTTAACTATTCTGTAAATAATAAAATAAAATTAAAAAAAATAACATCCTCTGAATCTTCATAAAAAAAGGCCAAGTCACTCACAAAAAAAGAAAACATAAAGCCCAACAATAGCAGAGTAACATGTACAAGAATCCAAAGGAAAGGACAGAGTATGAGCCAAAATTTTATTACCAGCAAGATTTTAAACAAACAAACAAACAAACAAAAATCTCAGGAAATATTGTACATATAAATGGTTCTTACAAATAAAGAATGAAAATGTTACAATGTAAAGGATTTGGAGAGGTTTTGGTAGTGAGCATACTTAACTGAAATTCTCGTACTAAAATAAAGGCAGTATTAGGTATTATGGTTGTAAGAATAACACATAAAAGCTATTTTCTCTGATGAAGTAGAATTTACACAACTAAAAAATGCAGAGAAGGGAGAGAGGAGTACAGAGTAACCTGATTTATTAACATATAGGTGAGAACTCAAATATTTAAAGCTGACATAACAGTATAAATCTAAGTAAGATAAAAGAGGACTAAGGTAATTACATACAGGTATCAGTATAAAGATACCTAGTGGGAAGAAAAAAATAAGAACATAGAATAATAATAAAAAAAAATGGTATGCAGAGCTGTAGGATCTTTTTGTATTAAGGATATCCATTTAGTCTGATTTCTAATGCAAGTGTCTTTGGTCAGTTATTTGTCATTAATTTTATTTTGATTGATATGAAGATTGGCTAGTATTTCTTTGTAATAATTATATCAAACATTTTATAAAGTCTGGACCTTTTCTATGCTGTAATTATACATATTTTAAATTTTTTCAGTATGTTCTTCTAGTACTTTTACAGTTTTATCATTGACTGATTTATTTTTACAAAAATGGTAAGATAGAAAAAAAGCTTATTTTTTTCGAACAGCTTCCTTTTTAACAAACAACACTGAGTGAAAACTTTACCTTTTCTCCACTGACATGTGATGCCCTCTTATTATATGACAAACTCCTGTATGTCTTGGGAACTATTTCCTAGGTATCCAACTGTTTACCTTATCTCCCTTGAAATTTATACACCAGTAAAAACTGTTTAATTTGATATAATATCTGGTAAGGCAAATCTCTCGCCATTACTTATTTTTTAAATAAGTTTTTATTTTAACTCCAGTATAGTTAACACACAGTGTTAAATTATTTTGAGGTGTACAATATAATAATTTAACAATCTATACATTATTCAGTGCTCATCATAAGAGTGCTCTTTAATTCTCATTACCTGTTTCACCTATCCCCCCAACCCATCTCCCAAACAATCTTCATTATTCTTGGGTATTTATCTATCCATAACTGCTTTTAATGGGACATCTTCATGAATGATAAATTTTCCATAAAAACACATAATTTAATGTTTTATATTAGTGAAAAAAAACCCCACAAAATTTGCATGTCGTCTTAAGATGATATACTTTTGACCATCTATCACCAATTCTCTATCAATGTTTCTAGATGCTCCTCTGTTTTTAGGGGTAGTTTCATAGAGAAGTAGAAAGAGGCTAGACTTTGCAGTCAGAGATTTGGATTTGTTCCCTCCCTCAATTGCTTATTATTTTATAACCTTCAGCCTATTACTTAAAGTGGTTGAATGTCAGGTTCATCATTTGAAAAAATGAGGGTAAAAATGCCTGCCTTGTAAAGTTCCTGGAGCATTAGATAAATTGTATTTTGAATAACTTTGAAATATGCCTGACTCTTGGTGGGAACTTTCTGGAAAATAATCTCAAATAGATTTTGACAATATCCTCATCCATAGCTCCGATAGAGGTTTCTCTCCTAACTCCACAATTGCCATGACTCGAATCCTTTTATTTGTCTGATAACTTCTATTCATCCTTTAAGAAAGCTCAACTATTGTTTCCATTAGAAATACTTTTTCTCACTTCCCCATGTTTAGTACTTCCTCTCCTTTATCAGTGTGCCCACAAGTCCACAAATTGTGGTGCATTCTATTTATCTGATAACTTGTTTGCCTCACCAAGGAAACTGTTAACTCCTACATGGAAAGTCACTTGTTGCTGATCCTATTGTTTCAATCTCAGCATATGACTTCCCCTGTAATTCATTCTCAAAATTAGCTGCTGATTGAACACACATTTTTTTATGGGTAAAAGGAGAGCACACAGAACATAATTATATTCGTAATTTTTCTTTGTTCTATGAGAAGAAATTAGGGAAAAGAATGACACCAAATCAGTTCCTAGAAATGGTTTCTGTCATTATCCCATAAACCTGCATCGACCTGACATGGCCTTCTGGCCCTACTTGCCAATAGGAAGCGCAAGCACTACAACAGGAAGTGCAGGGACAACAGGAAGTGCAGACCACTGAACTCCCCTGACAGGAAGAGCGGAACGTGTAGCTCGAGGCGGCACGCAAGCGCACAGACGGCTATGTAGCCTGACCCCTCCGGAACTTCCGGCCTAGCCAAGGGCAACGACTAAAGGCCTAGTACAGAGGCTACTGCCTGAAAAGATAAAGGTATTTTCGGAGACTTCCAAGAATTCTGTGGTTTGTTTGTTTGTTGTTTTTTTGCAGGCGGGTTTCTTGGTATCATTTTTGAAGTTAGGCTGGTGGCTCCACTGTGGAGTTGGGACGTTTTGCACAACTATATAGTTATATTAGAGACACTATTCTTATCCAGCTCTTCAAGGTACTTGAATTTTCCCTTCTCTTTAGGACCCCCCTTTGCCACACGATGCAGCGGTCTTTAGAACAAGCTTTGGAGCGTGCGGAGTATGTCATTGCGAGTGCCCAGCAGAGGCCTCCTAAAAGGAAAGGCTCGTCAAGCGGGGAAGGGTCTCTGTATGAGAAACTGTATGACCTCTATGTGGAAGAATGCGGGAAGGAGCCCGAGGCCGCGGAGGAACTAAGAAGCAACGTGAACTTGTTGGAGAAGCTCGTCAGGAGAGAGTCGTTGCCGCGCTTAGTGGTCAACCTGTACCCGGGAAAGGAGGGATATTCGCTGATGCTGGAGGGCTTAATGGGTTCCTATTCGGAGACCATTCGACTGCCTTATTAATAATTGGAGTTGCTTCAATACTTGGACGCTGAAGAACTGCCTCCCGCCCTGGTGGACCTCCTGGAAAAATGTCAGGTTAACTTTTTTCACTCTGGGTGTGTCGTAGCCCAAGTACGGGACTACCGGCAGTGCAGTCGGGAACCTCCAGGCTACGAGAGCCGGCATGTCCTCCTGCGGCCAACGATGCAGACGTTAGTCTGCGACGTGCAGTCCATGGCCAGCGATCACCCGACCTGGACCCAGGAAGACAGACTTTTGCTCGAGAGCCAGCTGATCTTAGCCACTGCCGAACCGCTGTGTCTTGATCCTTCTGTATCAGTAGCCTGCACTGCAAACAGGCTGCTCTATAACAAGCAAAAGATGAACACTCGCCCGATGAAAAGGAGCTTCCAGAGGTATTCTGCACCCTCCCTGCACCTGCAGGAGGAGCTGTCTCATTGTCCACCTCCTCCTGAGCTGAGAGTATTGACTTACAAGAAAAGCAAAGAAAGTAAAACAAGTAAGAACTGTGACTTTGTAAGTTCTAAAGTCGGGAATTATGTAGATACATGGAAACAGAGACCCTGTGACTTGGCCATACCTTCTGAAGTGGACGTGCAGAAATACGCTAAAGAGGAGAAATCTGTCGAATATGATGACTCACAACCAACAGTCTGGCCAATCTACAAGGCAAATGATAATTCTGAATTTGGATATGAAAGTGGCAATGAGTCTCCGACAACAAAGCCGGCCTTCATGCAGTCACTTAATGATCCACTTATCTCTGGTAAAAGAAGGGTACGAAAAAAAATCAGACATAAAAGACAGGAGACTCCTCCACACTCCTCCACATGTGACCATTCAAACAGTGTTCTTCCTGGGTCAAAGACGGATGCTGGGGGGGAAGTCATTCAGTCAGAGGTCTTGGTCCAGGAGAAGGCCAAACATCTGGTCACCATGTCACACAGCTCCAGTGGCTCAGCCAGCCTTAGCCAGCTGCCTCCAGGGAAAGAAACAGAACTGCCTGAGATGGTGTCTGTTCAATCTTCAATCCTGGGGAAGGGAATCAGCCATCCATCTCCATCCATCAAACCTCTCTCAAGCTCAGGAGAGAGTAGGTCAGGTAACAGATTTACTCCATGGCAGGGAAGCAGCTCTCTTAACTCTCCATTTCCTTCTGCAGCTACTAAGCCACCAAGTCTTTCCCAGAAATTCGCTGTGGAAGTGAATCAAATTAGCACATTTCCTGTGGCTACTGTGTCCACCACAAGCTCACTACAAAGCCCCCTGGCCACCGAGGTCATAGCGAATTCCCAGAAATCCTTGGTGGAAGTGAAACAAGTTAGCGAGCTTCCTGTAACCACCCTGACTACCACCAGCTCATCACAAAGAACCCTGACCACCCCAGTCACAGTCAATTTCCAGAAACCCTCTGCAGAAGTGATTCCAGTTAGCATTCTTCCTGCAGCCACTTTGTCCACTACCAGCTCACCACAAGGAACCCTGGCCACCAAGGTCATGGGCACTTCCCAGAAATCCTCTGTGGAAGTGATTCGAGTTGCCATGCCTCCTACAACTACTTTGTCCAGTGCTAGCTCCTCACAGAGAACCTTGGCCCCCCAGGTCGTGGCCAAGTCCAGGAAATCTTCTGGGGAAGTGACTCCAGTTAGTATACTTCCTAAAGCCACCATATCTACTCCCAGCTCCTCACAAAATACCCTGGCCACTCCAGTCATGGCCACTTCCCAGAAATCCACTGTGGAAGTGATTCGAGTTACCATGCCTCCTACAGCTACTTTGTCCACTACCAGCTCGTCACAGAGAACCTTGGCCACCAAGGCCAAGGCCAAGTCCCAGAAATCTGTGGAAGTGACTCCAGTTAGTATACTTCCTAAAGCTACCATATCCACTACCAGTTCATCCCAAAGAAGCCTGGACCCCCAGGTCACAGCCAGTTCTGCTGGCCCCAACATCATCAAAGTGGTGGGCCCTGTTTGTGGAGCCCAGGCTTTAGTGACAGGCTCCAGCCCTGGGCAGGGCTCTACTGCTGGGGCCACAGCTCCTACAGGAATCAATCCCAGCAATCTGCCCTTGGGATCCTGGCCACAAAATGCAGTCCCTGCTGTACTGCAGGTTCCTTCTCAAGTACATGTTCAGTTTTTGTTAAATGATGTGCCAAGTATCAGGCCAGTAACTGTGCTCCAGCTTCCACAAGGTTCAGTCGTTTTCAACACCCAGCAACAGCCTCAGCAGCAGTGGCTCTACCAATTGATTCCACAACAACTTCAACAACCCACAGCTTCCAGTCAACAGCCCGCAGCTTCTCATCCTCAGCAGCCAGTATCACAGGGTTCAAGTGCACAAGGGCCAACCAGTCAGAGAACAGCCTTATCCGCTCCACAAGCTGGTATCCTTAACCTCACTGGAGCAGGAAGTTTGCTGCAGCCCCAGGCAGCTGTGCTGTCTCCACTTGGCTGTGTGGACAGCCAGAGACAACCCGGGCAGAGCGGCCCTCAGCACACAGTGCAGCTGCCCCCTGCCTCACAGCTTCAGCCACAGCAGCAGGAACAGTTGAGAATCCTGCAGCACTCAGTGGCTGTGACAACAGGAGCCACCCAGACAGCTCAGCCACATCCATCTAATGAGCATGCAGCAAACCAATCAAAAGGTAAAATGAACAAAGGCACACCAACCACTCCAAAATCCTAGATCTTGCATTAATTTTTTCTCTCTTTTAAACAAAACAATATTGAAGTAAAAGGTTTCTGAGTTTTTACTTCATCTTTGTCTTTGATGTCTCAGTATTTTACACTGCTAGGTATACAAACCATACAGAAGCACAACCTTATTCTTTTTAAATAAAAACAGGGGAGTGATTTAATGAAAAAAAAAAAAAGAATGGACTATGATATTAGCTACCATGAGGTCGTTATCCCAGCTCTGTAATTAATTAACCTTAAACCTGTTTCTTAACTTACATGAGTCTCCAGTTCCTTATCCGTAAAATGTGAATAGGAATATTCACTTCTTAAGTTTATTGTCAAGGTTATATAAGATATATTAAATATTGAAATACAAATTAATTTTATTTAATATAAATATACAATATTTGAAAGAAATAAACATAAGTACGTAAGCTGAAAATAAACTATAGTAATAATATTAGTGCAAATAATAGTTTTGTTGTATTACATAAAAGCTAACCTTGGAATCAATAGCAAATACGCTATAGGAACTTAATTCCTCAAAAAGAACCACCCTAGACTTTTAAATGTACACACACACACACACACACACACACACACACCTCTTAGGTTTTCAAGTTATATAGATATAGGTACAGTTATAGACCTGTAGATTCAGATCCAGATATAGAGATTTTAATCCTCTATTAAATAAACAGTAACCCTTTTACTCTACCTAGATGCACCACACGGGAAATTCTCTCCGATAAAACTGGGTGCATAAGGCACTTGTAATTCATTCTTCAGTAACTGAAGGATGATTGCGATCTATGACTCAATATCATTTGACAGACAATATTCTTCAAGTGCATTATTCATGTGGTGCTTATTATTTTGCAAACACTTCATAATATACAAATGCACCTGCTATCTGTCTCTTGCTCCTCTATTCCATCTTCCTCCTCTGGTCTGTCTCAATTAGTTTGTCCCCATTAGACAATATCCACTAGAGAGAAAACGTAAGTTTCTTAACCTAAAATGGACATGTGAATGAAAAATGATAACTTTAGATGAACTGAGGAAAAAAATTATAACAGGCAATTATAGGGAAAAGAATAAATAACTGTGATATGAAAATATCTTTAAATATAGCTGCTAATTAAAAGTGATTTCTGCAGCCCCTAAACAAGATATTTTATGAGAACACTGTAAGGCAAGAAGGTAAATGACTACACTAAAACTCTCTTGCCCCCGAATTTAAATGAATTCATAAATGTGGATAATACTTTGGAAATAACTTATATGAGGGGCGCCTGGGTGGCTCAGTCCATTAAGCATCTGACTCCTGATTTCAGCTCAGGTGAAGATCTCATGGTCCAGGAGACTGAGAACCCTGCTGGGCTTCGCATTAACAGTGCAGCCTGCTTGAAATCCTCTTCCTCCCGCTCTCCCTGCCCCACCCCTCCCTCTCACTCAAAATAAATAAACTTAAAAAATAAAATAAAACATACGTAACTGTAAAGATTTATATCACTCAAAATGTCGTCTTCCTGAGGTTTTGGAATTGAAGATTGCTTAAGAAAATTAGCTAATGGAAACGTCATAAAAATATAGTTGTTAAATAGTTATTTTTGTTAAAAGACTTTATTGTATTGTAATATGTGATATTTGAGACATCCCCTTGGATGACTCGTAAACATCTTTCATTTAGCATGTCCAGGTATGATGGCATTCATCATTTCCCTAAGCCTACCAGTCCCTTTAATGTTTGGTGTTAGAATAGTTCACAAAGTAACTGAATTAATTGCCAAGCAGTTCTAAATACTTTAAGAAACAGAAAATCTCTCTGTATATCCTTATCCCTAACTACCTCTACTTCAACTTTTGGGCTTTGAGGGATTCTTAGAGAAATCCTCAAATTTCCTTCCTAACAGCTGAATGACCAACCACCCCACATAAGGTAACAGTATGAAAAAGTTGTAAGCAGAATGAGTCCTGACACCTGCAAATAGATTTATGATAAAATATTTCATTTGTGACATTTTAACATGTGTCACAGTGCACTGCTGAATACCCTTTGGTGCACGTGCATAAGATGTGGAATCAAATTCAAACTATTTTGTTTGGTTATATGAGGTCTTATTTGACGTGGGTTTGGCCTCTCCTCCCTATTTCCTCCCATTTCCCCATTCACACCTGTGGCTTCCTCTGTTCTTAAAGTACTGCTGGTCCTGATACGTGAGTTGTTCCTCATTTCCATGTTGTGGTGGAGATCCTGAGCCAGGAACTCCTTTCCATTCTGTGCTCATCCTGTAATGCTTAGCCTAAGCACTGTCACTCTGGGGTCTGAGTCTATTTCCATATCATCCCTTATGACAGCTCCCTTCAAAGTACTGCACAGGATTCTTTGTGGATCAAATATGGTAGTAAATATAAAGAAATATAAGAATTGAAATGTACACTGATATAAGTATCCTTTTCAGATTTTTATTTTTTCAAACATAAATTCTATAACATTGCATGCATATTATAGTATTAGTATTTTTAATTGATTAAAATTTGCTATATATAAAATCATAAATATATGTAATACATATTTATATTCTCTATGTTCAATGTCACAACTGTCTTTTTAAAACATCAAAGAGTGCTAAATGGCAATTATTATTGTGAAAAATAGGATATGTATGTAATAATAGCACTTTTTCAGTATTTGTAATTTCTCTTTAAGCAGAGGTTAAAATGATATTTATATATAAGAAACAAGAGAATTAAATACAGCTCTTTTGTTTTCTTGTCTTTGAACCAAGAAAATATTCCTGAAGTTATGATTCAGTTATAGGTCATTCTGATGAACTGTAACAGAAAAGTTTTCTTTTGCAAAATTCTAAGGCCAAACTGAAGAAGAAGAAGAAGAAGACAAATCAGTACAAATCTCCTTTTTATTTCAACTCACCCCATTTCTTATGTATTTGTATTACTTAAAAGTTTTGAATTCTGGGCATATAGTTATGTAGGCAAATAAAACAATGTTTTCCTGTCTGTTTAGCTGTTATTATATCATGTGATAGTAGCCTGATGGAGCTTTATTAGAATGCGGGGCTGTGTTTGGGATGACATGAATTAAATCAGATGTGATAGAAAATGGGGAATTACTGTGCAATGAGAAAGTTTTGACTTTTGCAAGATGCAAAAGTTCTGGAGATCTGATGTATGGCAGTGTGAACACATCTAATACTACTGAACTACTAATACTTAAAAATGGTTAAGGTAGTAAATTTTATGTTTTGAGTTGTTTTTTTACCACAACTAAGAATTTAAAGCAACCACCACCCAACAGATGTGGCATATAAAATCCTTCATTTTCAGAGGCCTTAGGGAAGCCTTCACCTATGCACTCATAGCACAGTGGTTAAGAGAACAACCCTCTGGGACCACACTGTCTAATTTTAAAACCTGGCCCTTACCACTTGCTGGTTGTAGGGCCATGGGTAAGTCACTTAACCTCTCTGGGTCTCCATTTCTTCACCTGCAAAATGGAGATATTTAATGGGAACTTTTTAAAGAGCTGTTATGAAGATTAAAGAAGAAAGTATTTGTAAGCTGTTTAGATATTCCACGAAATAAATTCCCCAGAATAACTGAAATGGAGGGGTTCGTCTGACCAAATTTAAAGGAAATGACCTAACAAAATAGGCAGTCTGGCAAACATGAAGTAACAATGATAAAGTAAAAGGTACACCTGGAAGTGGTGCTCATTCTCTAAGGCAAATAAGAGTTACGCATTATCCTTGAATTATAAAAATGGTGTGAGATGAGGTTTCTGAGGCTGTGGACAGAGCAAACAAATAGTAGTTCCTCATACAAGCTCCAAATCAAACATTCCAACAGGAAGCCACCTGAATTACAAAAGCCGTTGGTTCACACATGCCCCACTCCACTAGCCTTTCTAAGTGGCTGAAGACTTTTATCTTATTGTAGTTTAATGACTAATGATTCCCTGAGGTGAAAAGGGAGATGACCAACCAAAACCAACATTGTCCAAATATTCATCTAAAAGGCTTAACAGCGACTGTGAAGAAGTCACCAAAGCTTACAGTCTAGTACATTAAGAACAAATAAATTATTAACAAAGTAGAGAAAACTCTAGCATGGCTTTCAAATCAAAGTGTATTAATCAAGCACAATTTATGCATTAGAAGGTTACAGTGGAAATGCCTTTTAATTTTTTATTATATTTTAAGACTGACATTCAATGATAATTTTAAGAAACATTGCAGTTTCAGATTTAAATGGAAATAGCAACGGATAATCCAGATGCAGTGTTGACATGCTATCACTTTTTTATCATTTGCCCTCATTTCAGCTTAATAAGCTCTCTTGGCTCTCATCTTTCAGTGTTTAATCCAAAGCAATTAAACTGATATGCAAATGCCATCTCCCTTGCTTTAAGAATGACACTTAACACACAATTTCATTACAACAGGCAACTGGAATGTTTGTAGACTGATCAGCTCATTTTTATTTTTAAAATAAGTCTTTTCTTACAATGTATGCTTGTAAATAAAATGTCCACACACACAAATTTTATTTGATAAATGCCATGTGGATATTTGTCTTGTATACTAAACACAAAGTTCATACCATGTGATATTTCATTAAAAGCCTACTATTCTTTTGCTAGTCTCTACAGAAATATTTTACCTTATGAACTGCATTAGCAAAAAGTATAAGGTAAGCAGAAAATGAACAAAGTTGTATGTGTATGTGTGCACATGTGTATGTTTAAGGTAATCTGTCTTTTAAGATCAGTTTTAAATAAGAGTTCAGAAGGTTATAGAGGAAATGCCAGATATACTTTATGAGAATAGATTCAATTAGTTAGGATTATAGAGTAGACTGGTTGTATTAATGGTCCCAGTTCTTACTGCTGCTTATATCCATACCCTTTGGCATGTGACCTTCACTCTCAGTCCACAATGTGACTTGCTTGGGCCAATGGGATGTTGTGAGTTATGAAGCAAG